CCCCCCCAAAAACTGTTTTGATTGTTTAATACAGTATACAACGATATTTTCTGAGACGATTTATCATACTGTGAAAATCTCATACCGTTACAACCCTACATGACACATTAAGTGGATGTCTTACTTGGAATGGGCGAGGAGCTGGTAAAGGGCGTGCTTGTTGTCCTCCAGGCTGGTCATGGCAACGAGGAAGCATTTGATCACCTCCCAGGCCTGTCGTCTGTAATACGGCTCAGTATTGGCACTCTTCAGGCAATCCAGTGCAGTCTCTATAGCCTAGATACACAACAAGAACAACGTTAAACGTTACTTGACCAAATGAACACATAAAAAATTAAATTAAACAGCTTAATGCCTCACAACGTGATGAAAACCCAAACCCAAAATTGAATATGATTGCATGCCACATCATTTTTATTCAAGTTATGTTGCACATTTATATGACACTAATCTCCCCCGCTTGAGTTAAATTTTCTGTGATGACACTTAAAGACCCATCATACATTAAAATATTCTGCAGTGATTAGATGCCTCTTAAACCCTTAAATTATAAAGGGACAAGCTAAAGTGGCAAGACACGTCGAGGGAGAAGATGAACTAATTAGTAAGATTCAAGGAAGGAGAAGGCAGCTCACCACAGAAAGGGCTGTCTGAATGAATTATCGCCGAAGACAGCGAGAACACTGACAGCCATGCAGGTCATTTCAAGAGAGAAAACCCTAAACTGGCTCTTAATACTTATGTGCTCTTGGAAAAGGTGAAATAAATGGTACACGGGCTGAGAAAAAGAGGGTTGTACCTGGCAGTACAGCACTGTTTTACAATTCCTGAGGGTCCTGAGCTGTTCCTGCCTTGTTGAGACATTATTATAAATGTCACATAACCTTGTACACATGTTCTATTCCCAAGAGGACCCTCCACACAAACTATGTCATTTTTCAAAAGCTCAAGGCCTCAACAGTGGAGGCCTGGCCCCTAAAAATGTGTGTGTTCCATATACAAGCGTGAGTTTTTCTTTAAAACTCTTTGGGAGTATTTCCCCCTTATTTTAAATTGTTGCTCCTCCTCAGCAGGGTTGAGAAAATGAATCTAGGAACCACTGGTGATGGACTCTGATACCATGTCTGAATGTTTCAACTTCGTTTAATACCCTGATGCTTGTAAATCAGACAAATATAGGCAAAATTAATCAAGCAAGAGAGACCATCAGCTCTGACAGCAGCGCAATCTGTCTCTGACTGGAAAAGATTCACAGAGAACTTTCTTGAACTACGCTGCATTAGCTCTCATTTACAACCGTCTGGGTTCCTGGAGAGAAGGAACGAAACGAGAAGACAGTTCAGTTCGGCTGGTGTCCAAATCAAACCGTGCTTGCAAATTTATACACATATTGAAACAAGTGTGCATGCTTTGAGGGTGAAGGCCGGTCCTATGGGGGACAGAATGAGTTGTTGTCTGTCTCGATCCAAACACATCACTGGGCTCCGCCTGTGGCAACCACAGGGCGCATGCAAATGAAATTAAGCAGCGACGGCACAATGGCGGTAGCATCCATCTTTGTGGAGCGAACACAATTACAGAAATGACAGTTTGCGTTTTTCCCAAGTAGCGACGAGCAGCAGGAAGGGCCATTAGCTGGAGTAAATAATCCCGTCTGC